TTTACTGTCCTTAGTTGACAGAATTTAAATTTATTATTTTCTTATCATTAATGTATATTTAGTTTTAGTCAAGGTATGGCTGAAATATTGTCGATGTGACTCTTAATCTTAATTCACTCACTCACTCACTCACTCATCACTAACTGATACTAACTCATGAACACATAGCTATGGTAATGACAGAATCGGACAACGGTGTTTAGAACATATTTCTGTAGATCATAGGGATCTACTTCTATTATTAACATAACTATATCCTAATTATAGATATAATTCTTTCTTGGTTTATCAAAGCATCTATGTATCTCACCTGTTAGTGTAAGGTGTATGTCAGTATGGCCGGCTGGAGTTCAGAATATGATATGTCAGTTCGGTTATATAATATGTCCCTCATCCATCGATAGTCATCCGTCCGTTTACCCAGCGAAGTTAACAATGCAGCGTTCGACGAAACAGGATCATGAATACCAGCTCGGTCTGAACAGTCATTTGATACCAACGATTGTGCATTCAGGTGTAAATATCAGGTGACTCAGACCTGACGACATGACTGCCATGTTCCTGGTGTACCAGCCGTTAACTACCACCACTGTGTTGTAATAAGATATTTAAAAAATGATGTTCTTTACTCAACACATAAATAACTTAAGGTATTGATTTCAGTTTCACCAGAGTGCCCGGTAATGTTACGCTGATGTGTGGCCCATCACCAGATTCTGTCTGCAAGACTCAGTTGTTACCAAGCCACTGTAGCATATCAAGGATATAGTCTCCCTCGTGACCCTAGAAAAATATATTAAGTCAAAGCTCTAGGCTAAAATTAGAGAGTATTCTGGGCGCCTTTCTTATTCATGGTTATTCACGAAGGTTTAACAGAATATCCGTATGTGCATGTGCAGTAAATCCGCTTCAAGTTTGTCAAGGGGGCTTTGCATATCTACATTCAAAGCACGCACTATACGGTGTTAAGCATTGTCATATAACAAGTCGAAAAAGTGATGTGATATTCTTAGAGTGTTAAGTTGGTCCCCCGGGCCCTTTATCACAGTGAGTGTCAGTAATATTTCTGCAATATTATATCGCTAGACACCACACATATCATCACAGTTAAAGTACTGTCGGAAATAGGAATAATGTTTTTTTGGCTTTTACACTGTATCACTAAAAGTTACACAATTGCAAATAGCATATGTCGAAATAACTCACATCGGCCTGATTGGGCGTTCAAAATGATGCGTAATAGGATATCCAGAAAAGCATGTTTACTTGCATCCTCGATAATCTCCAGGGTATAGCATGTGGAGAGTGATCGTAACATATACCCTGGAGATTATCGAGGATGGTTTACTGGAAAATTGGGCAAAACTTAGAAAAATTCCAATAGCTGCTGAAAACAATACATCAGCCTATAGATGGTAATTAGGTCGCTCAGCAAGGTATGACGACGGAACGTCGACTCACTGACATGAAATGCATGTGCTGCCTACGGGCACAAGGGGTCATCTCAAAGATATTTTTTATGCTTTTTCATGTGCGTTGACTATGTCTCATCTATTGATTTACATCTTTCGTGTCTTTCTGTCATAAAGTTTATGTTGAGATATGTAAAAGAGTATGATACCCATAGAAAAGCTTAAATTAGCCATCGTATTAATTGTCTCAAAATATATAGGTGACATGACCACCCGAAGATCGACAGGACTGGATATTATTTGTAAATTGTCATGACATGCCGTTTACTTCCTCAGTTTAATTCCCCGAAAGGGTTATCTATCTCAGCTTATATCTCTATCTCCCAGCCCGACCCCAACCACCGTCTGCAACACCCGTCCTGATTATGCTTTTGAGAAGACCCCTCCTACCTGTTTCTTTTTATTCTGATAGTGAGACTCCATGGTAGCTTCATCCTTAACAGTTTCAGTCTTAAAGTTACTGTTTACGTCAGCTATCGCTCATAATGAAGCTAATTCTAATTTCAAAATGAGCATTTAAAAAAGTTTCTTTCGTAATACAATATCACCGCACACTAATTTGCATATAACCATGGTCTGTTTCAAATAAGTCGCAGTGGACTTTGAACAAAACCCTGCTTTGCTCATTTCTGCACAAATGTCTCGTCAGTAAAGTCCTTTTTCTACGTTTCCTATCTCCCTACCACTGAGACTGTAGTTAGGCCGAACTTAGTTTAACAGATATTTCATATTTTCACATATTAACTACATACATCATAGACATGAATGCGAAAAAACAGTGTTTTATGTCTATTTCCGACAGTACTTTAATCACAGTTCATCCTTGTAAAATAAACCTGATCCCCTGAATAATCTTCCGAAACAGATTATCTCTGCTAATCTTCTGCTTATACAAGTTAAGGGAAACAAAGTCAAAACGGATGATATGGATCTATTTTCTTTAGATTTTCATCAACGCCAGGAATATTCTCCCAAATGTTTCCACAAATCTAACAGTGAAGATGCGGAGCAATATCCTTATGAGCAAGAAAATCAAAACACTTGAAAGAAGCCTGCTTATGACCATTCGCTTATGTTCATGTGAGGTTAGATGACATCAGTAGAAGAACCAGAATCAATTGTTTTCAATGATACTATATCTTTCTTGCGTGCAGAAACTGAAGAAAGGTCCAACTACCCCACATAATCCGTACATGCTTCCAGTCAGGTGAATGTTCGAGAGTGTATTCTTTCATGTAAAACTACGGCTCAGGTTATTTTTCATAGAAAAGTTCTTCATTATGTTTCGTTTGTCGTTATTCCGTTAGATCAGGGATCTCATGTCATTTCAGGGTTCAGCAGTCTATGTATTAGTTTATGCATATCTCATCGTCGTTGAACCATCCAGTGCATATCATCTTGCATCTCAGGTAACTATAGAGAGGTTTCGTCACACTCTTCAGCATCTTACTATTTGGAAATATATGGGATGACATTCATTCGTTCGTTCGTTCGTTCGTTCGTTCGTTCGTTCGTTCGTTCGTTCGTTCGTTCGTTCGTTCGTTCGTTCGTTCGTTCGTTCGTTCGTTCGTTCGTTCGTTCGTTCGTTCGTTCGTTCGTTCGTTCGTTCGTTCGTTCATTCATTATTGTGTAAGAGAGTAAGTTCAGAGGGACATACAAACACCTGGCTCTCGTATGAAAGACAATTTTATCATGCCACTAAGATTACATTCTTAGTATCTTGAAAATGTACTTACTCGATGTTTTCGCCATGTTTCTCCTCTAGCTAATTTATCGAATTGTGATACTGTTTGAACTTGTGACTTGGCAGCTTCACTGTCAATTGCAGCCCTTAAGTTATAGATAACTCAGCTGTAAAGTGTAAAATTCATTTGAATCAAAAGATTCAACTGTCAGAAATATTTCAGGATTTTGCTTCCTTGTCAATGGATTTACCTGATGCAGGTGAAGGTAACACTAGAATGAATCCAAAGAAGGGAGTTCAATACATGCTTGATGCTTACATGATTGAAACAATCGATAGTGACTGAAGTTCACCTTACATCTTTGTGCCAAACTTTGATGGTACAAAAAAATATGTAATGGCTGAATGCTGTTGCTAAACCTGACTCTTACTCAATACCAAGAACTAATGATTCCATCAACAAAATCAGTCAAGCAAGTGTCTCACCAAGTTTGACCTATTGAAGGGATTTGGGCAGTTTCCACTACCTGAACGGACAATTCAGTTTAGTGATTCCAGACAGATTTTTATAAATACAAGTAATTTCGGAAGCCACCCTCCAGCCTCTTATCAATCGCAATTCAAGCAGTTTTGAGGACGCGAAGGCCTACACGGATGATATTAGCACTCATTCCATAAGTGGGACAAATACTCCACACTGACCCGTGCCTCCTTCAACATATTCAGGCTGTAGCCAGGTTGACAGCAAATTTGGTGAAATATTAATTTGTTCCTGCATGTGAGTAATTTTGGAGCCATGTCATGACCAACCCCTTCTGGAAACGATGGAGGTTATTTTAAAAGTTGTGTTACAAGACGTAGTGACTGGATATCATGCACATCAATAGCTATAAAAATGTTAACATTTCCAGAACAGGCCTTCTAGCGACACACTGTTCATATGTTATATTGCATTATATTGTTAAATGCATGTTAGACTGCATGTTCCAGATGTTTGTTTAAGAGACAATAGGACCCTGGAATAAAATGAGAAAATATTTATCATCTGTCAACATGGCTGGTGAGAGATGTTCCAAGAATTATTTAGCAGAATAGACTTTTTTATTCCTGGTAGTTGTTGTTTATACTAAAATAATGTTATAATTGTGAATGTAGTTATTGTTTGTTCTAAAAGCTAAACATGTGACAAATAGAAATATTATACGCTAGTGAAATATGAGAATACACTATTGGAAAGGATTATTCTTTTCTACATTAAAGGCACACAGATAAGTATTAGATATGAATTGTGACAATAAACATGGAAAATATACTCAACGAACTGACGTGCATTTTGTGCATGAAAACAAAGAACCCCAAACCAATATACAGGAAAATGTTGTTGTACATATGTACATCTATAACTGATAAAGAATAGTTGTGGGAAACAAGCGGTTTCTTTATATCAACTGATATACTAAATCGACAGGAATCTTAAGAGGTCCATCACTGTTATCACTTGAATACAATCTTGGTCAAATGAAAATGGGAATGAACATTCTTGAACAGGTTTGCCAGAAACTGGCCACAGTGTGGAGAGTGTCTGGACTTTGAGGTTTCTAGAATTTAATTGTGACGTTGACCTATAATCATGAAAATGAAAATGAACATTTCTTATCATTACTAAATTTGCAGATCATGCATATCCATACCTATCATCACATTTGACGTTTACAGTACGGGTCTTCCAGCAACCCACTGTCGATTTGTTATAGGTAAAGGTATGTAGGACTACATGTTTCATAGGAGACCATGCGACGCTAGAATGAAGTGATAAACTATATGCGTATTTTCTGTCAACATGTACAAAGGATATTTGGTAGAGTAAATGTACCGGGACATTGCTATACACATATACATCTAAAGCTGAAACAAACAGATACTTTCTATCAACTGACATCATAAATCGACATTAATCTCAAGACGCGGATCACATTAATCACTTAAATAAGATGTCGGTCTATAATCGTGGAAGTGGAAATGGATGTTTCCTATAATTATGAACTGTGTTTAGTCCTTCTCTTGTTGCCACGGATTTCAGTTACTCGGTGGTTGTTCCAGACTAACAATGGCAGATATGTTCACAATTATCAATTGTCATCAACGTCTTATTAATAACTTTCAACACGTTAGATTCCAGCGGTATATCTGAGATCCTTCCACAGAGTCCCGTCTCCGTCGTCCTGGTAATCCTCTACACGCAATATGCACTTCTCCTCTACAACATTCAGCAGACGCTCAGGTAGGTGCTCCACCTGTACGGGGCCCACAAGTAGCACAAAAATCCGGTTAGGAATCAGACTCGTTACCGAGTAAAGGGCCGCATCAATGGTAAATTGGGACCACTGAGAATCATATTGAAGGAAGTCATCTGAAATCACCAGAACAGACTTCCAACTGTTAGTGATACCGCAAATAATACCGTCGGCGATAGGAACACCTGGAAGAACATCCCGATCCTTCAGAAACAGAGGCACAGGCTGATTACACAGTTCCAGCTCTGGTCGTACTTTCCGATAGACGAAAGGAATGTCAGCCTCGCAATACGCAACAAAGAAGGTGAAATCAAAATCTTTGGCTGTTAAATATTGGATGCCCAACCCAAATAGTTTCAGCAAAGCATTATGATATCGCACTGGATTATTGGAGACTATGTATACAGCAATAATTGAAGTAAACATTACAATCATAAATGTAACTGTGATGCTAAGCATCAGTTTGCCTGTACAGTAGTGAAACAATCTGTCATGATGTTGGGCCACATCCACAGTTCCTGTCATTGTGCCATTATCCAGAATGCAAGGGAAGTTCCTGTCAGTCTCGTAAATGACAGGTGTATCCACCAACCAAAGAATGAAGTCGAGATTTTCACAGCTACAAGAAAAGGTGTTCCCTTTGAAAATAAGTTTGAGGTTGTTCTTTTCAAATGACATATCCAGTTTTGATCTTGTGCCTTTATCCAACTGTCCAATCAGGTTAAAGGACATGTCGATAAGGATAAGCCGTGGATATTCAATGGTTTCAATAGGAATGATGTCAAACTCATTGTGAGATAAATTTAGATGAACGATTGTATTAGAAATTGGACGAAGTGATATATCAGTCAGTTCATTCATTGAAACATCCAAGTATTGTATTGATTTCAGAGGACTGAATACACTATGTTCACTAAAGGATTTATTGGCAAATTGTAACTTGCAATTTCGTAATGACAAATGTGTTGCGTTTTCAAATGAGTGAAAATCAAACACATTATCAAACTTATTTCCTGATAAATCAACATTGCCAACATTTTCTAAACCCCTAATGTGCATTAAACCAAACAACAAGTTAGAAGCCAGGAGAACAGTTTCCAGGTTGTGTGTGTTTTGAAATACAATGTCTTGTATGATGACTGAAGATCCTGAAACGGCAGTTACACCAAAATATCTAATTTTAGGAGGCAATGTTATTGTTGTGTTTGGACCTAATGTTTCATAACTTTGAGTCCTTGGAAAGTCACCGTCTATTTTCTTCAAGCTGCAATCGAAATATTCAAGGTGGGAAAATCTAAAAAGGAAAAATAGTGCAACACTATCCCCAACAAAAATGTTGTCAGACACATCAAGAACTTTCAAACAACTTTCAAATGGATCTTGGTAGATTGCTGCATATTCGATTAAGTATAATTGGTTGCTTCTCAAAGAGACTTCAGTGACACATATTTTGTTCAGATAATGCATGCTTTCTTTAGTTAGGCTTCTATCGACAAGGTCTTTTTCATCGTGCATTCTGTTCTTGTATGTACTATTGAACCAAATCCTGGTCATGTTCAGATATACGAAGGGATAGAGAAGACGTAAAGCGTTGTGGATTCCTATCTGATTGTTGGTTAGTTCCAACTGTTTTAGAAACAATAGTGGCTCCAGAACGCCTTGCTCACAGTCTTCTATACCACAATGATTTAAAACCAAAACCTCAAGCTTTGTTTCATTTAAACTCTGAAATGTTTCATTTCTTAATTTTTCTGTTGAACATTCGCCTCCATATATAAACCTGGAGTCCATCTGGAGTACTTTCAGATTTGTTAGGTTGGAGAATCCTGGACCAAACAAAGGATCAGGAACTGAGTCGATATACAGACTGTGGAGCTTGACGAGAGGAGGAAACACCCAATCCGGATATGAACTCATTTCAGTCTTTTCAAGATTTAGAGTTTGCAAACTCACAAGGTCACGGAAGACTTCCTCAGGGAAAGACACATTGTCTGATCGCAGCTTGTTCCGAGCAAGGAGAAGTTTAGTGAGATTAAACAAGCCCCTGAATGCCTCTGGTTCAAACTCTGACAGCGGGTTTCTGTTGATATTAAGGTAGATGAGCTTCCTAAACTTGTAAAATGTGTTATTTGTGAGAATGTTCAGATTATTTTCACTCATATCCAGAGCTGTTATATTTTCCGGAAGGTAGTCTGGAACATGTAGAAGTTTTCTTCCAGTACAGTCAGCGAACAAACCTCCATATTGCATGTCAAAATGCAAGGCACAAGTCTGTTCATTTCCTTGGCACACTGTGAATGTCAGCAAAACAAGGAGAGTCCTCAACATTGTGTCTGAAACAACAAACAGTGCATGGACATCGCTCATCGTATACATTATTTTGTTGACATCAGAATAACATCTTATGCAATGCTGATTCATTCATCTGGTATTTGTTTTAGTGTGTTGAGCCATGCTTTCTCCAAAGTTACAATTAATTCCAAACGTAGCTGCAACTGGCAAAAATAGGCAAGGCGTGACTTGCAATGTTATGACGTTGCTTTGATGCGAGCATGTGCGATTTGCACCGTACTTTAAAGCTTGCTGTAGCCATAATGTCACTGTTATGTGTCTTACCTGTGTATGAACTCAAGTGAATTAAAATACCAAAAAATAACTAAAATGTTGACTGTTTCTTCATGATGATTAAAACAAATGAGGACAAATTACAAATATGGGGACAAAGAACTACATTTTCGTTATGCACATAATCTACCAGGGTAAACGTAACGGTTTATTGTTACATGATAGCACTATCCTTTGTGTAAACACGCTCCAGGGCCTAGATTTTCGAAGCGATCTTAGCGCTAAGATAGTCATAAGTTCACTTACGACTATCTTAGCGCTAAGAAAGCTTCAAAAATCTAGGCCCAGGTGTTTAAAATTGTACAGAAGGGAGTAGTGTGTGCTATATTTACACTTCAAATACACTTCAAACACCGTCACACAATGAGTAACACCGCATTTTACTGAATGTCAAAGGAACATTTGAACAAAGATGAAACACTGACATTGCTCAATGAATAACACCGCACCTGACTGAATGTCAACAGAAACAGTGGAATGTAATTGAAACACCGTCACACAATGAATAACATCGCGCTGAATACAGATGAAAAACTGTAACAAAATGAGTAACGTTACATTTTACCCCATTTTATACATGGTCTCTGATAGTCGATAACTATAAAGTGGCACAAACGCAGTGAGCAGGCTATTGTTTATCATTCTTTTTTCCAAAGCGTCTAATACTTATCTCACCTGTTGTTTCAAGGTCTATATCTTCCTAACCAACTGCATCATTAGTTATGTACATAAAACGTCCGGAGTATCCAGACCATCAGCCTCCGTTCTCCTCACAGGTGTGGCGTCTCCGACCCTATCCCGGACAACTTTAACACAGCAGCATTCCCCGAAATAGGAGTACCTCCTTGTTTAGGTTCAGTGAGCACAGTCAAATGTTGTAAACACCGTCATATGAGATAGCTCGGGTAGGATGATGTTACCCATGGTGATACTCCATCGGTTGTACTCGTCACAAACATATGCAATGGCAACTGTGTACAATCGACCTGTTTCTGTGGGGAGATGATGGTTACCTGTTAATCTGTATCAGGTCAAGATTAAGCTGCTGGTTCAATGACATGTAACTGCTTAAACACAGAACACTACAAACTCTTTGAAGAGGAGGTCAGCTATCCAATCCTCATAATATTGGTCTATCAGATTTATTCCACCTTAGTGCTTCTGATAGCATACGTGATTTAACCCCGTTCTCTCCGGTACAGCTTTAATGGAATTTAAGAGAGGAAAGTTGTACTACTAGTACATTGATACAGCTTATACACAAGTCGATCCACAACATTCACTAACCTATTTGGGGAAAGTAAAACTTTATTCCAATAAATAATCATTCAAGTTGTTAATCATTTCTAGAAGCTATCCTCCATGTTCGCCGTAAACCATAAAGTTTGGAGTTGACAGCTTAACTTTAAGTATACGCTTGCAATAATTTAAGCAAGTTCCTCAATCATAATGGACTTTCAAAGCCTCACACGTCAAAGACATATAATAATATCGGCTGACATGTTTAAAAAATGCAACTCGCAGTCGTGGACGTTTCCGACTTTTGTATCTTTGCCAAAACAACCAACATGGTTCTCGAGACTTGCTCGCACAAACGATTTTAAGCATGATAAAGTATATCACATACAGCACCTTTAGAAGTATTGCGCCATCTTTCGGTCTCAACAGGAATGCTTTTCTTTCACGTTCTAAAGTTTAGCAATGGATATGGTACTGGTTCAGGAAGCGATGGTTTCGTAGGGTGGTGTAGAACCATACACATGCTCGTGGGTTTCACCTAATGGGTACAGGTCTGAAAAGTGCATCACTTCTGACTGTCTCTCTGCAGTAAGCCAAAAGGCACTGATATAAGATAGTGAGTGAGAGAGTCTAGTTTTACGCCGCACCCAGCAATATTCCAGATACATGGCGTCGGTCTGTAAACAATCGAGTCTGGACCAGACAATACAGTAATCATTAGCATTAGCATCGATCCATACAACGATCGATGTCAGGTGTCAACCAAGACAGCGAGCCTGACCACCCGATCCCGTTAGTCGCCTCTTACGACAAGCATGGAGAACTGAAGATCAATTCTAACCCGGATCTTCACGAGTTCTGATATACCTGGGATGCTGTTGAAAGTAACGAAAAAGTCTAACTCGATTTCTCTATGCATAACTGGCTTTGATCACCTATATCTCTTCTGAAGTATGCACGGTATATACATGAGCATTAATGTCCAAACATGCAATCGTACCCTAACATACATGTAAAGCACGTGCTTCAAGCAATATGTCAAAAGCTATGGGACCTTTCAAGCGCATTGGGGTATAAATTTCATAATTGTAATTGCAGTTTTCTTAACAGATTTAAAATATGACCGTGCTAAAAATTACTTATCTTGACATGACAAGACATCCACTCTCAGAAATCACAAATTATAGCATGTATGACGCAGGGCTATCCTGTCGGATGAGGTAGATAGACAGGTAGATATCGTTATGTCTTTATATCCTCCACGATTGAAGATAACAGGTTACTGAATAACATTATACATGGACACAGATGTAATTTAAATGGCAGCAAGAGGTATGCACATGATATATTTACAATGAAATGAGGTTGCGAAAGATGATAAAATGTCTTTAAATCAGGATCATACAGTCTCTCCACGTTTCAAACGGAACTTCCGAGAAACAGTCAGGTCCACCTCCAAGCATAAATGACATAATGACATCGTCATCATTAGACCACCAGTCAACAAAGGTATTCATCAATGACATCACATAGACTTTCAAACAGTTCATTTCTTTCAAGCATCGTGAAAGGGCAGATAAGGATGTGTTTGACAATGTCATTAGCTACTCTTCCACACTCACATTCACCAGATTGGACGTTGCTGACACCGAGTCTTGGTATTGTTGAAAACTCGTAAACTCTGTCAGGAGCATGAATAGCTAGCTGTCATATATTCAGTGTACAATGTTGTCTTATCAAGGCGTATCTATTCAAATCCTTTCTGCCAGATATGTGTCTCTGTAATGATTTAGTCTCCACTCGACTTGAGAGGAAACACGTGGCCACCGGTAAAGTAAACGATCGTCCAAGACCTGGAGGATCAATCACCGAGTCCGAATTTGTCAGACAAGACGGGACTGAAAAATTGCCGATGTCACGTTAAATTGTAACTCACTCACTCTGACACGACGCAATCCCAGGACCCAAGAAGGGCGCCGTAGAAAAGAATGGGAGTCTGACTCTCCATCAGCACAATTAGAATGAGACTGGCGGTCTAAGGGAACGTCGTCCGATCAGGCGACCCTTCATCGCAGATAGGCAAAGGAAGGAACGTCTGGCCTGGTGCAAGCTCCAGGAAAACCGCAACTTGCGAACATATCGTAGGGTCGTAAGACGTGGAGACGTACGAAACATATCACCAGAAGATGATCCATGCAACCGTACCATTTGTTTGTGGCTCAGTGATGGTGTGAGGTTGCGTTTCTGATGACTGCAATTTTTATCTCATTGTAGCACTTGGGATACTCAATGGCCAACGTTAACAACAGGAGGTACTGGAGATCGCTGTCGTGTAATATTTTGACAACCATTTGGGGATGACAACGATAGGCATCATCGCTCTCAAGCCGTCATCACAAATTTACAGAACAACGCAATCGAAACATTACCATTGCGCCCCAGGAGACCCCACATGAACCCCATCAAACACCTAGGGACTATCATGGACCACAAAATACAGATCCCCCTGTTCGAAATCTGCAAAATTGACGCAGACACCTTATGAGGAATGTCAAAGAATTCCGATGCTGAGAATTCAATGCTTGAATGACAGTACGAGGAGGAGACTGTCAGATGTTATCCGTGCGAGGTGTGAATACATCAAGTACTGCTGTGGTAGCCAGTGGTGCTTCATACAATCACAACAATCAATATTTGAAAACTGTATGACAATCAGATAGGTGCTGTCATTGATGATATTCACGTTTGTGTTTCTCTCAGGTTGCAACTATATTGTCACCAAATTGCAATTTCATTATTCTTTTTAATAACAGTAAAATATGATACAGTTACCAATTTAACACCAGAAGTCGTTTTCAAAGCATATATAGTGAGTAAGTTGGATTTTACGTCGCGTTTAGCAATATTCTAGCAATATGACGGCGGTGGACACCAGAAATAGGTTCACACATTGTACTCAAAGCATATATAATATGTAGTGTTTGCGTACGTTTAATACAGAAAAGTGGGTAGTACTTGATTATTGCTCGGATGTATATGATCGGTTTTTGGTTATCTGTCTAAACAAAGGGGGCAGTTGTGTGGAAAAGTATATTATGCTTTCGAAAGGGTTTATAAGCTCCGCTCTATATTTTTCATCGCATCGTCCATACTATCCTGTGTCTATATATGCTATTAATTGCACACTATTTGTGTCAAGATGATAGGTACAATTGAGTTCATAACAAGGCAGGTGAAGGTCCCTTCACTCCCTTCACATTGCCCAGTTTAAATGATACTAGCCAAAGCTTTCATCTGGACCACATAGTTGTGTATGAGGAAGTTGTTTGACCTGTAACAATATCATCCAATAGGATGCGATGCATCTCAAGGCATCCAAGCCGAGACAACAGTATTTACTTACTTCCTGCTCTGTTACAACGTCACAGAATAAGACGTCCGTCAAAGCCGATGTTTACTTACGATTCGAAAGCAGGACATCAGAGAGGTTAAATGGATTTAATGTCGAGTTCAAGGATATTTCTGGTCTTCAGGGCGTGAGACTACGTATTTGTACTAGTATCGTTTTACAGTAGCAGCCTGGTATGGTATGGTCCAGCGGGGTGTCACCCGCCCCATACTTTTATAAGTGAATGTAAACCCGACTGCATCACATACATATATTTGATGCCCTTTTGTGGTGACCTGATGTAGCTGGAATATTGCTAAAAGCGGCATAAAACCGTATCCACTCACTCACTCACTCCAGGTGGGTTACATTCCTGGGGGAAATCTGTGACAGAATTGGACATGAGAGAGTTTGTTTGTCTGTGGAAATGGGGTACTCGTACTGCTGTCGCTCTTCAATGTGCTTCGCCGGGTTGCCCTCGAGGACCAGAAACTTTATGATTGCTCTGCACTCAAGCTTATCCATTTCTGCCATTACAATAGGGGTACATGTGATTAGATGTCACGTGACCGGAAACTAGCGACAGGTGCATGTCAGTATTACGTTTATGTGAATGCTGTAAACCATTCTTTAATACATGTATATCACAGTTATATTTATCATGCACATATCAGAAGTATTTTATGCTCAAAACATTTTGATAACCCCTCGTAACGTGTGTACATGCGTGTGTCTGTGCGTGTGTGTGAGCATCGCACCGTCCAGAGGACGTGTGTACTTATGTGTTCTTAGTCTATAGTCTGATGTGTTCTTAGTCTATAGTCTGATCAGTGTGTTTCACTGACAATTTACATTTTCAAACCTCGCCCAACATGTAGTAGTAATAAGGTCATTAACTTATTGTATGTAAGTATACAGCAGTTTCAGTGTGTTGGTGTGTGTGAGTTGTCGGCCCAAAATGTTCGATTACTTCAGTAACACCTCACTCTTCATCAAGTATGAATTTCATATTTTATACATGGATCCATGAAAATCAGCTACAGTGTAACATACGAGGAAGAAGCCCGTGTTGAGAATTAAGTGCATTTCACTATGGCACAAGGATAGAGTGTCAGGGTGCATGT